ATAAAAAAAAGTGTGCGAACCAATAGTTCATAGAGACCAGGAGTACATTCTTCAAAATTCACTTTACTGTAACAATCTAAAATGACTTGGCATATCCTGGATCTGTTAAATCAGCATAACTGATCTCTGGCTAATTTTTTCTTCAGGCAAGTGTGCGAATCTGATTCTATTATCTAGATGAGTTGATCTGAGATTATCAAGTGTTATTGCTGTGAAGAAAAGATCTCTCAATTAGTGAAATTCTGATCAGCAATGCATAGATTGGCCGGCGGCAAGAGAGCAATTTAGTGACACTGTCTGATTAACATTCAATTATCAGCCATGTGAGAAAAATGACAAGATTTATAGTAAATTAAACAGTTTGGTAAATGATATGATGCATAAACTTTTCACATTTGTTGTGGGATATTTATAAAAGCTTTTTACTTTCCTTCTTGAGTTAAGTATTTAACACTATTTAGTTTTACGTTTAGAGCAGATTTTCTATGAGACAGTATTCAATTTCTTAATCTTATGGCGTAAGGCATAACTTGCTATTGAAATTCATTCTAAAAAGTCCATATTGCTATCATAATAGTTCATATTACCTAAAGCAAGGGTTCTCAAACTCAGTCCTGGAGGTCTGGGGCCTCATGTACGAACACTTGCGTGGAAATCTTACTAAAACATTGCGTACGCACAAAGCTGTAAATGTGCGTACGCAGAAAAAAATTCAGATGTATGAAACACTGCGTACGCCGAATATCACGCATATTCTTTTGTACATCTGAATGAACGTGAAACTGAGCGCAACATGCACGAGCACAAAACCCCTCCCTGCTTCCTCCCCCGTATGAATATGCTAATGACTATGCTAATGGCAAAACCCAACGAAAAAGCAATGTCAAAAGCAAGCAAAAAGAGAAATTTTGAACAGAATGTGAATTGGAGGTGCTGCTTTCGGAGGTAGACCGGAGAAAAGCGGTGTTATTTGCAAGTTTGTTCTCCGGAATTAACAACAAAAGAAAAAAATAGAGTGGGAGAGTTTAGCTGATGCGGTCAACACAGTTGGGTCTGAACATCGCACTGAGTGCATTAACAAAAGAAATAGTGTGGTTTATATCTGTAAAATGTTGCAGTACGCTTAACAGTCTCAGTGGCGCTACTCGTAAGACGAATGTGATCATGAATTGATACGTTCGAGCATGAACTCGGCTCGAATCCAGCGTCTGATGAACTCATTCTTGTTTTTTCCCCCGCTACATATCAGATTTTGCCAACTATTTATCACGAGAAAGACAAGTAGGAATCATCAATAAGTTCATATTAATAAGCATCATATTTTATTTGCACATTTATTGAATGGAAATGTTTCTGATTCACGCATGCAAATTCATCTTCAGATAGTGTCTTTATAGCAATGTGGGTGCGGTAGATCGCTCAGTTTACATTGGGAAAACAGGCGACTGCTGCAAATTGCGCTTTAATGTTTAGCTGGTCAATTGTATGGTATGGAAACCTTATATACCTGCTGAACCCGTCTTATACAGCTGCCATTGCAAGGCTCAGACACTTTGTAGAGAGGAATTTAACACAACTGCCTCTAGGAGTCGCCAATGGAAATAAAACAGACACGCACAAAAAATGTGCGTACGCCTGCCAGAAAGCTGCCGTGAAGCTGCGCACATTCCCACGTTCAGTTCATTGTTAGTAAATCCAAACGTGAGCGATTCTGAGCGTGAAACCTGGCGTACGCAAAGTTTTTGTGCGTACGCAGCGTTGATACATGAGGCCCCTGGTGTCCTGCAGATTTTAGCTCCAACTTGCCTCAACACACCTGCAAGGATGTTTCTAGAAAGCCTAGTAAGAGCTTGATTAGCTAGCCCTGGTATGTCTGATTGGGGTTGGAGCTCAAATCTACAGGACATCGGACCTCCAGGACCGAGATTTGAGAACCTTTGACCTAAAGTGTCAGGAAAAGGGCTTTTTGAACCCATTGAAAAGATACCATGTCCAGGAGAGTTTTTGTACCTTTAATTATATAACAGTACTTAATTACGTTTAGAATATGTATTAAAATTATTTTACAATATTATTATTACCCCCAATTTTCACTTTCACTTGAAATGACAGTAGGGATGCACGATATATCGTCGGCCATATCGGTATCGGCCGATAAATGCTATTTTTAGGATTATCGTTATCGATCCGATGTCTAAATTCGGCCGATATCTTTAAGCCGATAAATTACGCAATTGTACAGACTTGCGCGCCGCACGCGTGGGCGGAACTTTTTCAGACTTGCCCAGTGCACTATAATGGATCTCTCCTCACACTGTTTATTCCTTCAAAGTCTGTCATTTCTTAATGTGGTATTGCTGTGCATTAATAAGTCAGTAAGTAACCATGTTTCTTATCATTGTAGATGTGTTTAATTGAGTGTCATTGTGTATTTTGCTTTAAATCGCCTCTGGAAAAATATTACATGTGTAAACCTTTCCTGCTCCGTCTCTTTGTTGTGTAGAGATAGCAGGGGATCTTAACTTATTACTCCAGGGCCGAATAATATTAGTTTCGTGGTGAATTGCCTTCTCTTTTAGTTGCAGCCGGTGAATGGACGAGGACACATGTAACTTGGTCCAAAATATTTATTACTTTCCGTGTGGTACAACAAATCAGTCACCTAAAATAGTCTCATTGCCCAAAAACCGCTCCTCTCCCTCTCCCTAGCTCTTCGCTTCACACACACACCCCAAACTGCAGCTGGACCCGCACATTTTACAACACGTGTAAACATAACAGTTGTTTGTAATCTGATTATTTGTTATTATCAACGCGTAGCTTGTCATGTTGTTGATGCAAGATGTATTCAGTTTGATCGAAATATTCATATTGATTTTGACGAGCGCGCGAGCTGTCACCGCGCGCACACACACACTGTAGCACGGGGGAGAGGGGAATCCAGTTATAGAGGCTCTCGACCAGCGGCTCATTCTGTCTTTATATTCAGCTCTGTTAGCTATAAAGACAGCTCAATGCAGGTTTTGTATCAAAATCTGACTCTGATGGCAACTCTGCCTCTACAGTTGAGTAAAACTCAGCGGTTTATCATAAACTTTTCATCGATCATTTCCCCCGCAATTGACAGCAAGAATGAGCTCAGAAGTGTTGTCTGATTGACAAGCAGCAGCTACATGTTTAAAATAATCTTAAACGCCAAATAGGATGAATCTGTGCCGCATTTTCTAAACGTACTGTATATATTTAGCTGTTCGCTTGAACGGTGGCTCTGAACTGTCAAAACACCTCTAAAAAAGGCTTTTTCGGACATGACGTATTTGTACATCACTGTAACACGTTTTATTCAAGAACATTTGAGCTGGTTTCAGTCCTTAGTGCTTTCATTTTCATCTTATTTAAATATATTTAATTTGCTTGTTGATTAAATCCTATTTTGTTATTTAACCTTAATAATTTTATGCAACAGTCAAGTTGCATGTTAATTTGCTATGAAGAAAAGGAAGTAATGTATTTTTTGCATGCTGATTTATGTGAAATCGTGAATATAGGTCTATGATCACCTTGCAATTTTAAAACCTTGCAGTTAAAGCTTTTTTGCTTTGAGTATAGACTATTTAGTTCATAAGAGCAGTTCAATCTTTTATGAAGTTTGCTGTATAAAAATATATCATTTTGAAATATTTATAAATATCGGCCTATACATATCGGCTATCGGCCTCCAAGTCTGAAGAATTATCGGTTATCGGTATCGCCCAAAAAATCCATATCGGTGCATCCCTAAATGACAGTCTAATGTTTTTTGAAGAACTATTCTGGATTGTGTCAAACTGTCAATAATCGAATCCAGTTAATTGAGTAATCTACTTACAAAACAGCACACAAAAATGGCTCAGCACAAACACAAAAACATCCTGCAATACTATTGACAGACACTTATTTCATACTTCTACAACTTGAAATGGAACAAAATTTTCAACATTAAAAGTGCAGTGTGCAGGATTGTGCACTATGAACTAGTCATTGTAGACCAAATGCAAAATACTGGATGAAAATAGTGACTTTTTTTTCCCCCACACGGCCACTTTGACGACAACTTGTCGCGAACACACAGGTTGCCATACTGACTACACCAACAGAAACAAGTATGCCTGACAATCGAGCTTACATTGTAAACTGGTCAGCTAATGTTTACATTTGTAATATTTGTATTGTTTGCAAATGAAAAACCACCTCATGGACTTTTATAACATATGCAATATTTGAGGTTGCTGCTGTCCTCCGGTCACATTTTTAGCCACAACAGTATAAATGGAGACAGCCATAATGACTAAAATAAAATAAAATGTCTTTTCTTCCAAGACAACCACTGGTGTGAAAATATAATTGGGTAAACTGGCAGTGGGCAGAGTTACAGAGATCAAAACAAAGACTTTCTGACACGGAATACACATTTTCAAAGGGGAACAAATGACTGTGGAATTGTTTTTTTTTTTTTTAATAAACAAGTACGTTCACTTAGCATGTTTCATAAATATCTACAAATATATTATAGTATGTTTATGCTTTAAAAGAGTCAAAAACATACATAGAGCACCTTTTATTAAATAGATTGTACGGATATGACTTGTGTTTGAGCAGTTTTCATTGAAGCTCAAGTGTAGCTCAAAAAGCCTGAAAAAAACAAGCAGGATCTATATATAAAGTTATCTGAGACCTCTATCTAAAGCTTGAGTAAACATCTATTGTTAATGTTACAAGCATGAGCTTCATTTAGTAAACTAGTGGATCTGCTGATTTTATCTTCTGTAGAAGTAGCAGAATTTCATGACATTAAAGTTAAATCATTATGTTTTTACTTTATATTTTAGAATTATACGATTGATTCTAATTTAATTTTTAATTTACCTAATTTAATTTTTAATAATGAGAAAAATCAGAAATCAGTAGTTTAGTCAAGATGCAAGTGTCAGTGGAGAAGGGGAATGAAGTGTTCAACTCACACTGTAGACAGCAGAGACAGGCTGTGTTGAGAAGATTCGCTCGTCCAGGGGAGGCGGCACTCGTGGATATCTTGAGGGGAAATTAAGGAAAACTCTGGAGCAGATTGTATTTAAGGCCAAACACAGAAACAAGGTGGGAGAACATACATGATGCATAAAAAAAACTGAGAAATAAGATTGAAAAAAAAATTTGATAAGCAGATCATATTTATCTGCATGCAAATTAACTAATTAGCTTATGGTAGTAAAATATTTACTGTTTTTATTTTTGTCCCAACAAAATAATAGTTTTCAGTCAGGCAGACATGTCTTGGTTTTCTTTTTATAAATATTATTTTTTAAAAGTCCCTTATGCTCACCAAGACTACATTTATTTAACAAAATACACATTAAGCAACAAACTGAAACATTGTATGATTTAAAATTATTTTTTATAACATTTTAAAATATAAATTAATTTACTGAAAATATTTTTACTATGAGTTTTATGTTGACCTCAGACTTTTAAACAGTAGTATATGTAATTTCTTCAAAACAAACATAAATCTATAACATACTGTACACATATAACCTACTGTACATAAAACCTATAGATCTGCAATAAACCAATAAAAAAAATGTACTGGAACCTGAACTGTGCCACTTATCAATTTGTTTATTACTCTCCTTATATCACAAATCATCTATGCAGGAGAAAACTACACCTCAGAATTACGGATGCACAATGTTATTGAAAATTCGGATAAACTGAAAAATAATGAATTTCAATATATAAAAAACACTAAACAGGGCCAATTGAGTTTGTTACAGAGCTCTCAGATGTGAACCACAAATCAAGCCAGCATAAAGTGGTTCCACAACATTCATTCATTCGCTTTTTGGCTTAGTCCCTTTATTAATCAGGAGTCACCATAGCAGAATGAATTGCCAACTTATCCAGCATATGTTTTAAGCAGCGGATGCCCCTGCAGCCCCAAGGTTCCACAACATTAACAAGGAAAATATTGTGCAACAATGATCAGGTTAGAAAGCTTGGTTGTCTAAAAATCACCTAATATTGCCATGGTTTTACTTTAGGAAAAAAACAACCGGAAACTACTGGCAGAAACGCAGGACATTTAAATAGAATTTAAGCATGTTTTAATGTATTGAATTTATTAAATGTGTAAAGTAATAGAGTATGTTGGTTAAAATTTCACATTAGTTCTGTATTTTTATTTGTATTGAATGAATGAATGTTTTTTTATTATTATTAATTTACATCTAGATCTCAGCTCACGCTTCTGCTATTCTCAACTGCAGCTACTGTCAAAAGTGCATTTTTAAGAGACTAAACTTGTTTACCAAATAAAGTGTTGGTGTCACTATCTGTAAAATACAGCAATGAAAACTAAAAAAATGACTTGACTGTATGCGACATACCTTATGTGTAAGCAAAGTCTATGAAGAACTGTAATGCAAAACACATCACTAGACCTAGATGGCTAACCACAAAATCTCTTTTAAGTTTTGAAAGACATTCAACAAGCAATAGGCCAGCCATGTTACAAACACAAGACGTAGCGACACAAACACAAAAGTCAAACATGTTTGGAACATTTACATAAAAAAAAAAAAACAACAGTAAGAATGTTCGATGTTTCATTAGGTATGCGCGAGGATCACAGCCTGAAAGGTGCGGTTATTTTCTTTGTTTTCATAAAACATATTCTGTTCAATAACCAACTACTCCTTTCACCCCTTCATTTAGAGTTGACATTTAACACAAAATGTCTAGACTATAGGTAATTAAAGGGCACCTATTTTACCACTTGTTCAAGATTTAATATAAGTCTTTTGTATCTCCAGAATGTGTCTAAAGTTTCAACTCAAAACATCCATCAGATTATTTATTATACCTTTCAAAACATTGGAATTGTCTGCTCTGAACATAATGTAGCTGTTTTTGGTTGCCTGTGCCTTTAATACTGGTTCTCCCTGCCCACCGGTCCCACGTGCCTATCAAGAGTGTGCCTCAGGGCATACTCACAACTATGTACATTTGACTTGAATCGGGATAAAGCATGCTTGTCCCCTCTCCTGTCTCCCCCGACGGCCTGCACTCACATTACATTCGGGCCTGGGCACGATTAGGTCATCGATGACGCACTGATCAGTAAGAAGCGCTTCCGCTCAGCACAGTGGAGATTTCTTTAGTTATATTGTTAGTGGTTTAATATGCAGTGACACACTGTTAAATATTTCGCCAAACAGATCAGCCACTTTTGACGCTCATAAACAATCATAGTCCTCGTGCTGCAGGAATTAGGAGGTTTGCTGAAAGCGCAGTTGTGGTGCAGTGAGGAGTTTGCATCTGTAATATTCTACGACAGTATGCTTTCATTAAACAGTAAGAATGTTTAATAAATCCAAAAGTCAGGTCTTGCTTTCAGTTTCGGGCATAGGTGCGTTTTGCACTCACACACAAGCGTACTGCACCAAAGCCCAAGTGAACCACGCTCAGAGCACTCACACTTCTCAAACAATCCAGGAAACTGCCATGGGCACGGTTTGGATTGCATAGTGCGAGTAGGCCCTCAGTCTCCGGCTGTGTCAGATAAACAGCACAGTAAAAGATATGTAGCAAGCAGATCTTGTATAAAGTTTGTGAGAAATACCTCAGTAAGAATTTTTACAATGATTATTTTATGTATTTGTTGTGGAGTTAATTCAAGCCTTTCGATGAGTCACACACAATATAGTTACAAAGTTCACACACATAGCAGACACACACACACACACTGCACTCATTTAACTTTGCACTAGTTTTGCACAGCAAATGTGACAGGACACATGTTAATATCCACTGCTGTATGGAAATCTGTCATGTTAATGTACAAAATCAACCTGATTTAATGTCCACAAACCAGAGTTGGTGTGTCTTCTTTTATAAATGTACTAATATGCGGCTGTGGTGATAACGACGATAAAATGCACTGTATTAAAAACGTTTTAAACTTGTAAAAGTTATTCTTGATCAGATTTGATGATGATGATTGATGATCACAGATAGCTCAACAGATCTTTTAATCCCTGCTAGCTTTGCGCAGATTCTGTCTTGTGGATATGATTATGTGTGCTACTACGGAGACATGTTCACGGCTGTCAATCAATTCAGTGGGTGGGGAAACCGAACTCCTAGGTCAAGTTGCGGTCAGCCTCAAAATGGGGGGGGGGGGTCTGGATCCTATTTTATCGTCAGAAAAATTTTAAAAATAAAGACTTATTGTGTTTATATCACCCCAATATGACTGTGGACACACTACACCTACTCACAATTCTGTCCAAAAAGACCATTTTCATCATAGATGCTTTTTAAGATGACTAGTTAAACTAAAAAATAGAACTTATCAGTTAAGTGTTCAGCAGTGTTCAATATATACATGTATAGAGCTGAAGTCAAAATTATTAGCCCTCCTGTGAACTTTTTTTCTCTTTCAAATATTTCCCAAATGATGTTTAACAGAGCATGGCATTTTTCACACTATTTTTTTTTCTTTTACGTTTCATTTCGGCTAGAAAAAAAACATTATTTTTTAGACCATTTTGTAGTCAATATTATTAACCGCCCTTAGCAATACTTTTTAATTGTCTACAAAACAAACCACTGTTATACAATGACATGCCTAATTACCTTAACTTGCCTAATTAACCCTTAAATTGCACTTTACGCTGAATACTAGTATACTGAAACATATCTAGCAAAATATTATGTACTGTCATCATGGCAAAGATAAAAGAAATGAGTTATTAAAACTATTATGTTTAGAAAGGTACTGAAAAAAATCTCTCAGTTAAACAGAAATTGAGCAAAAATATATAGGGGGCCTAATAATTCAGGAGTGCATATATATTAGCCAGTTTACCCAGCTCTAATAAAAAAGAGAGAAATCTGTGCAGCAAGATTCTTGAACACAAGAAGTTGATTGAGTATTAACATGCTGCTGGAGTACAGAGGATGGAGACGTGTCTTCCATCTCCAGCCCAGCAGTTTTGTCTGTACAACCAGGCTATTGTTAAGAGGGTGGGGAAAGCCTTCCTCCTCCACTGCACCACAGGCCCATACACAAGCACAGAGAGAGAGTTCAAACAGAGATAATGTACAGTTTACTGTAAGCAGGATAAAACAACAGCTGTTAGTTACTCATTTTAACTTTCCCTTGGCTCGCTGCCATGAAACTTTCACAGTAACCTCCTGCTCCACAAACACGTCATCCTTTATACAGCCTGAGTTTAAACCGGTTTGTAGGTTACAGATTATTTTTAGTGTAACAGACTCATTTACCAGCATATACATTTGCAATGACACAGCAGTCACAATGTCTTGTTTCCCTCTGTTCACACTGCTTTATATATAGCAAAGGTTTTCTCTGCAATTAAGTGCAATATGGTCATAAAGGGACAGTTCACCCAAAATGAAAATTATCTCACCATTTACTCCCTCATTTGGTTTTAAACTGTGTGTTTCTTTCTTCTGCTGAAAAGAAAAGAAGATATTTCAAAGAATGCTGGTATCCGCACTTCCATAGTAGGAAAAAATACCAAAGAAGTCAATGGGTGCCAGCTCCCAGCATTCTTCCAACTATCTTATTTTATGTTCAACAAAAAAAACTTAAATACAGTTTGAGTGAAGGAGAGTGAAATAAAGACATTTATATTTTTGGGTCAACTGTACCTTTTCATATACAACCTTTTCCTAAATAAGAGTGTTAAATGAGGCTCGGCACACACCGTAAATGTAAAATCTGACATTGACATGAGAAATAAACTGATTAAGTTGATCCCGTATCACAGTTTAGCAAATGATTCTCAGCTATGAAATGTTTGCAAGCAGATTTCTTGGCAACCATGAAGGAAATGAAACCAGTCCACTGAGGACTTTGCCAAGTCATAATCGAAACAGAAATTATTAACACTAAAGCATTTGGGGAATAACCATTAAACTAAAAGGAGAAATAAAGCTATGATTGTTGCTGACTAAATTATGCACCATTAGCAAAATTCTTTCCCTACTTTATTATAACCTCCAGCACAACCAAATCGGTTTAAATGAAAGCATGAAATTGCAAACATCATATGAACATGCTTGTTCATAAAGTTATATTAGAAGCCAGATTTACTACTGAACTTCCCAAAACCTGCAAACCCAAAGTGCAGCTCGTTTTTGAGGTGACCAAGATGCTGGCAGATGGACACTGACAAACACAACATAAAGGTTTGGGTGTTAGACTCAACGAAAAACAAACAAGACTATGAACAAGGAAAAGTATGATAGTTTATCCCTAGAGCAAATCATATAAGCCGAATGTTGTTTACTTTACCATGCCTTACTGTGCGGAAGAGAAACAAGCAGTATATTAAGCTTTCCAAGATCTAAACACAATCTCAATGGTGCTCAGTTATGAGCTATTTTGCTTCATCTTCATTCAGACTAGATGTATTTAATGCATTAAACTGTATTTGTTGATGCAAATACATAAATGCTACCAAACTGTCACTGATCAAAGGTAAAAATAAATAAATAAATAACTGTACATAATATTGAGTTTATTGTTAATATTATATAATAATATTGAGCTCAATATATCAGCAGGAGCCACTTGTACTTATTAAACATTACCTGTATATGTTTTTCTATTGATTCCAAGTTGATCAATTGATCAATCAGAAAAAAAATGTCAGCTACATCTTCAATAGTCTGAGAGTGAGTAAATCAGCAGCAAATTTACATTTTTGGGTGTGAATGGCACTTTCAGTCTCCATTTACTTTCATTTCATGCAAGAAATATGTAATTGAAGTCAATGGTGAATTCCGAGCATTAGCATTACTTTTTCATGAGGCTGAATGTTGATAACTGGTAAGAGCATGTTGTTTATAACATTAAAAGCGCGTATATCAAGACACAATCATTTAATTGACGTTTAAACTCGATGTCACGTCTTTCAAGTGAAAGCTAGCTCATCTTTAAAAATGAAAGCTAGCTTTAGCACACTCAAGCCGGCCGGGCAGGCTCGGGCCAACCCGGTTGTGTTTTGCCAGCTCGACTACGGACAACCACACAAACATTATTGTGTTATTTTTAACCTAATCTACTAGAAGCTTCAGGACTTCAGATACAAAAAGCACAAACCAAACACACACTTCTGTTGGGATGACTCAGTTAGCCGGTAAGTTACAACCCAACACACTCTAACATTACCGCTGTCAAAAAACTAGCAGCCCGCTTGCCCAAACAACAGTTTCGGACTTTATATGCACATCAACTCGAAATGCCCCCTCGAATACCCATGATGTTGCCATGAAACGCTAGCATTAACTTATCCAGGCACACACACTTCACTAACGTAAGGTTTTGAGTCACAACCACAGATGGAGATTTGTGATGGAGTTCAGAAAAGGATACTGTTGAGCCACCGACTGTAGCGGGACTGTAGTGAGGGTGGTCCGCAGTTGGCTCGCGGATAACTGCCCGGTTCCAGGTCCAGTTCCAGCAGCGGCGGCAGCGGCTGGTTTCGGCACCGCTTTCGGCGGCAAACTCATCGCAAATAAAAAAAACTAACGCACGGATTTACAGATATTTACAATAATAAATAAGCTAGCGGCTAAACTGTACACTGGAAAAATATTGCTGGCGACTTATGTCAATACCCGGCTTTATATGAGCAGGTTGCCGGTGTCTGAGCGGATATTAACGCGTGAGCTAACAGGCTAGCTAGCTTATTGATAGAATAGCAGGCTAAAGTTAGCCGGCTAGCGCTTATTGTGGTTTATCTTCATTGCTGAAGGTTGGGGGCTGTTCCCCCTCCCCGGCCGGGGTTTCCGAGGATCTAGTTGGCCTCTTCTTGCCAGGGCGATCTTGACAGGTGTACCCTCTTTGGAAAATGAATAACACTTTGTTTACAACTGCTCTTTGACGAGAGTATCTCCACGGAGTGTGATGATTCCGTTCAACATGGCGCTGTGGCCGCCTCCAGCAGTCCTACTGGACCTACCTTTCGTTTCACTTCGGGTGTTTCCGTAATACTTCGGCGGGTGGAATTTTCAACGAGTGTACACGGAAGTACGGAATGGGCTTCCGGAACTCATAATAACCTACTTGGATTTCAGCCAAATAGATTGTTGTAAACGATGTAACGGCCAAACAAGAGTGCGGCATTAGATAAATTTTGTTTCAAAATGTCACCACTATATTTCTATATAAAATATGTTAACCTTTCAATGTTTATGTGCGCGTTGGAACCGATTTCTGATGTTACAGTGACACCATGTGTCAACAGATGAACATGGCAGTTCGGCTATTGAGAAAAAAAAACTTGGGAGACGATAATGTTTATCATATTGTTAAACAAAAAACAAATGCAAGCACATGTTCAAAATAGTTTTATATTTAAAATTGATAAAAAATAACAAAATTATTACGTGATGTAAGCTTTATCAAATTTATTTGTAGGTTAACTTACTTTAGGAAATGCATGGTTTTGGGCCAGTTGATTACAGAAAGCGTATAATGCATGGGAGTGCTGAATTCCAGAAACATTCATTCATTCATTTTCTTGTCTTGTCATTTCTTGTTTCTTAGTCCCTTTATTAATCTGTGGTCGCCACAGTGGAATGATCCGCCAACTTATCCAGCAAATTTTATCTCTGGGAAACATCCACACACACACTCATACAGTACGGACAATTTAGTCTACCCAGTGCACCTGTACCGCATGTCTTTGGACGGTGGGGGAAACCGGAGCAGCTGGAGGAAACCCACGCGAAGGTAGGGAGAACATGCAAACTCCAGACAGAAACGGCAACTGAGCCGAGGTTCGAACCAGCGACCCAGCGACCTTCTTGCTGTGAGGCGACAGCACTACTACTGCTTCGCCTAAAACCTAAACCTAAACATCCTTCAGCAACGTTGACAGAACGTAATGCTACGAATATGGTCTTTAATAGTGTCCTAAAACAGTGGTTCTCAAAGTGGGGGTCGGGACCCCCTGGGGGGTCGCGGGACAATGACAAGGGGTCGCTTATTGATATCCAAAACTCAAATAAGTTTTATTAAACTATTAGAATTACCATATTTTATTCATAACCGACAGAATATACACTGAAAAAAGTGTTGCATGCAGAACTGTTGCAAATAATTTCTTTGTGTTGAATTTAAACAAACAAATTAGTTTAGTAATGTTCAACTTAATTTGTTTGTTTAAATTCAGCCCAAATAAATTGTTTACCACCTCTTAACATAAAGAAATTGAGTAAATTCAAGGAATCATCTTTGAATAATTTTTTTCAGTGTAGTTAATAGTTGCATTAATGTAACAGCAACATAAAAATAACAATCAGTCATCAGCCTTTAATTTTAAAAGCAAAATGTAATTAAATCCATAAATCACTTTAAAAAACATTATATGGCTAATAGACTATTGCATTTTTGTGTTGTCAATAAGCTCATGTTTATATTTGCCTATAGTTGTGTCTGCAACGTTTACATATTTACAGTACAACCACCTTGAAAAATGGGGGTCGCGAGCCACTGATATGATTATTTTTGGGGTCGCAGCCTAAAAAGTTTGGGAACCCCTGTCCTAAAACATTATCACAAAAACATTACACATAATATGCATAATAAAGTTAAAATTGAATACTCTCTAATCCCTATTTTAAAAACATAAAGATATAGGCTATGAGAAAAAAACGTTCCTTTATACATTCAATAAAATAAAACGCTTCTCAAGTTATCCTAAGGTTTACGTGAATATTTTTTTTATAATTTGAAAAAAAAGAACATACAGAAATTATTTTGTCTAAACTAAACAAATAGATATAATATATTACAATATTTTAATCACTTAATTTTTCAGTAGCTTTTTGTTTCCTCAGCAATAGCACACATAAGAAACACATGCTCATTTGGAATACTAAAAAATTTTTATGTGATATTTCTAAATTATGTATTAATTTAAATTATATATATATACTTGGTCATAATATATAGAAAATTCTTTAAAAATATACAGAATTTCCATTCCTAATCAACATAATGAAATAAAGACCGTTCACACCAAGTAAATTTACTATATTTTCATCCACAATATTATTATATTTGGTTAGAAATAGAATGAATAAAGAGTTACAGTAATTGCCCTTCTGATCAGGCCTTTAGAATGATTTGTATTTAAAAACAAGTTAAATAGTTAAAATCTAACATGTTTGTGTTAGAGTTGAATTACTTTTTTATTTGCTGCATTGTTTAACACTTAGCGAAGATGGGTTATGTGTTCATAAAAGTCAGACAACAATAGACTCTTTGGGGGGGAATCATACAACAAAAAGTGCTGGTGTGCATTAAAAATCATTCATTCATTCATTCATTCATTCATTCATTCATTCATTCATTCATTCATTCATTTTCTTTTCAGTTTAGTCCCTTTATTAATCTGGGGTCGCCACAGCGGAATGGACCACCAACTTATCCAGTATATGTTTTACACAGTGGATGCCCTTGCAGCTGCAACCCATCACTGGGAAACACCCATACACTCTTATTTATACACATACACTTTGTACAATTTACCTAATGTCTTTGGACTTGTGCGGGAAACCGGAGCACCCAGAGGAAACCCATGTTAACAAGGGGAGAACATGCAAACTCCACACAGAAATGCCAACTGACCTAGCCGAGGTTCGAACCAGTGACTTGCTTGCTGTGAGGCGACAGTGCTACCCACTGCTCCACCGTGTATTAAAATGTAATTTTTAAAATAGATCAAAAATGAAAATAATGACCAACGTGAACACAATGTTGCCATCATGAGAAACTCTGGATCATGCAGATAACCTGATCTAACATGAAAACAGAACTATTTTTAAAGGTGCTGAAGAATCTTTGACTTTTAGGAAAAAACTCGAAGGTTTAATTCTACCCACATAAAAAATACTGTAGAAATTATTAGTAAACTATATATTATGAACTTTAATAGTAAAGAATATAACTGCATATAGTAGTATTTTCCAACACTTTGTTAATGAATGCTGCAGCATATTGTAGTTTTTAATACAGTGAAGTGTAGTGTAGTATATTAAGCATTAGAAACCAGAGCAGTATTAGATCATTTGTTTATATTATTTTACTTGTTAGTTGGAAGTTCGCTGGTTCAAGTTCAACTGGGTCAGTTGGTATTTCTGTGTGGAGTTTGCATGTTCTCCCCATGTTTGCGTGGCTTTCCTCCAGGTGCTCCGTTTTCCCCGACAGTCCAAATACATGCCCTATAGGTGAATTGAATAAACTAAATTGTTGTAGTGTTTGTGTGTGAGTGTATAAGTGTTTCCCAGTATTGGGTTGCAGCTGAAAGGGCATCCGCTGTGTTAAACATATGCTGGATAACTTGGTGGTTCATTCTGCTGTGGCGACCCCTGATGAATAAAAGTACTAGCCAAATGGAAATGAATGAATGAATGAATGTTACTGTTCACATGGCTAGGTATGCTGTATCTATCAGTGGGTGTCAGCAGATTGTACACAAACATGAATGAGATTGCCATGGCTTTATTAATGCTTTTAATTGAAATGACAGAATTTCGCTCATGAAATGTCACCAAGCAATAATAAAAGTGACTAAAAATTAAAATCTTTTCTTCAACTGCTAAAAATAGGCCTGCGGAATATCCGCATGACTTTATACGTGTTTAACCCTGGGACATCAAAACCAGATGAGAGCCCCTTTTTGTTGAAGATATAGAAGTTAAATAGTTGCCCGTCCTGAGACTCAAGAGACACAGAGGCAGCGTTGACTTTCAGCTGACACGGATACTCCTTCTCAAATACCAACCTGAAGACCCTGTCCTGTAGATAAGTGAGTTTCAAACTCCTGTACTTCACAGGAACCATGTCATCAACTTGAGGTCCGAACTGCTCGAGAGACAGCACTCCATCTGCATTGGCTTTGATCTCATAGAATGTAATATTACTATAAGTAAAATACCCTACATAGGGAGTAGGGTCTGGAGGAGGAATGAGAACACGGGGTGTATCTCTGAAGGCACTCTCCATGGCAGGAATGATATAGCTGTAGGTTTTGGCCACAAGGTCCTCATCTACAGGTTTGCTTCCAGCCATTAGGATGACCAATCCGAGCTTCAAGCGAGGAACAAGGGAAATCGAAGCTGAATATCCATCCAGATCTCCATCTTTGCGTATAACATCATAACCCAACTGTTCATTTACCTCCCAAGGTGTTCCCGTTTGATTGGCAAAGTAACTGTTCTCACATCGAAACAATGGAGTCAACATGGTTTTGAGGGTATCAGGTTGGAGAACCTGCCAGTAAAATGCCCCAAGCAGCATCATCGCTAGTTTGGCCATGTCAGCTGGTGTTGAGTACATTTGCCCTGAAGGTCTGTACCAGCCGAGGTCATAAAGAGGCGCGGGACGCCCGCTTGAGTAGACACCTACTGCCATCCGGTTCTTAATCTGTGGAGTGATTTCAAACCCAGTGTCCTCCATTCCCAATGGTTGCAGGATATTCTCAGTTACCCATCGCTGATAATCCATGCCAGCCACCTTCTCCGCCATCACATGGGCAAGCAGCGAGAAGGCCAGGTTGCTGTAGTGGCATCTGAGGACAGCAGAGGACTAGAATTACTTCCTCTAGGGAGAATCCACAAGTGAATTCATTGCATCCGCCCACATCTATTATTTAAACCTCTTCTCATTCATTAAACATCTTCTTAATACAAGTTTGAAGAGGAAAATATACTATCTTACTTGGTTCCGGGGTCGGCCACGAGAACATCATCTTGTAATAAATCCACTGCAGCTTGAGTGTTGCCTTTCCAGAGTAGTGTAGTCGCTCTGAGCCGCCTTGGTAAACCTGTAATATGAATGATCCAGATTTTGGTATGTATTTAATGCATCAGTTTTATTAAAAATGATGATCAAAAACAGAACTCAAATTATTATTTGCTTTTTTAAAGTCAGAGGTTTAGAACAACTAAGGTAATTTTTA